AAGCAGCAGCAGCGAGCTCTGGAAAGAGCTGCTTCGCGCTTGGCCCATGGGAAACGTTAGTGGCCAGCAGCGGGGTGGGGCGGATGGGCTCAGAGGACTTCTCCATGACCCCTCTAAAATGTATCGCTGTCCTGATCTTCTCTTTGCTTGTCCCTTCTGCATGGGGGGATTGTGGGTGTGGCTAAAGCCACGAGGAGCTATCGTTTTGACACCTCCCGCCAGCACGGTACGTGTTAGACAAGCTCTCTCCAGCCTGTCGCCTCGCAGGCTCTCCATGGATGTGTGATGCGGGGGTTGCCAGAACAAACAGCTATCGATAATTCGTGATAAGCTGCAGCGAGAGTATTGCTACTTGCCGAGTCTGGACGAGCCGTATCTTCCCAGAGGAAGCTCGCGCTGGGCTTTCAGGATGCGATTCACAGGCCGGCCTGTTGGAAAGGAGCTAATCAACTCCTGGGAAACAATCTTTTCACCGGAGCGGCCTGCAGTTTGCAGACCAGCTTTCTCTAAGCATCAGCCTCCAGCCTATTGAGAGTCCTCCTGTAAGCTTTCAACATACAGCCCCTCTTTTACTGCTAATGGTTTATTCCCAGTGGCAGATTTAGATCCCCGGGTCACATGGGGCTCACTCCTTCCCCTCCTGCTGCATCGACAGCTTTATTTACAAGGCAACAGGGGCTGCCAGAAGGGAAACGCATCTGTTTAGGGAACGGCTTGGTACCTGCCATTTTTAGCACAAGCTTTTTTCTCATGGGGCTGCTGGAACTTGGAAACTGGCTGCCTGAGTATCAGTGTGTGGGTGGGTTTGGCTTCGGATAAGGCCTCTTCCCAGATTAGCTAATCCCGGTTCTCATGCCCAGGGCCAGGGTTTCGGGAGCGAGCGTCCATGCCAATCTGAAGGCCCAGTAGCCCCGGAGACATCCAGCGTGATTTGTTCTAATCTTCTGCAGAGCCTCAAGCCTGGACGTTAGCCAGGAAAATGAAGGCGTTCAGCTGATCAATATTTTTCGTGCAAAGTACTCTTTTTAGCATGAAAAATAGCTTTTTCCAAAACCTGAAAACCAAGTTTTTGGCCCACAAACGTTTGATATTTTTTTTCTGACAAAAACGTGAAAACTTTTAAAGAGAAAACGTGCAAGTTTGTGCCCAAAACCTGACAATCAAAAACTTTTCAGCCCAAACACTTTTCCATTTCCCTCTCCAGCTCCACTCAGGAGTCCAGTGCGCCTTGTCCCAGGGAGACTGGCCCCTTTAAGAGATTATGGGTCCAGCCCCACCTGTGACTCCCTCAGCTTCCCTCCCGAGGCAGCACATCACATTATAGGCAGGTCATGTGGCCAGATCAGGCCTGGAGCGTACATAAGAGGGAAACCTCTAAAAAGACCAGGAGGAGAGAGAGCAGACGGCCTGTAGGGGGAATGCAGGCTGGCAGGATGGCTGTGGGCCCCCTGAAGAGGCTCCGTGAACCAGGACTGGAACTGGCTATTGGGGGAAGCCGGCCTAAGCCCAGCACTGGTGCTCCAGGGTGGCCCCTGCTACGCTCCTCATCCTCATTCGTTCCTCCCGGGAATATCTGTTCCTTGTCCGTGGCCAGCACTTTGAAACTGCTGAAGAGAGGTGGCCCGCGAGGAATCCAGCCCAGGCGTCACGGGAGACCTAGCGCAGTTTGCTGGGTTGGGGCGGGATTGTTGGACAGTTCGCCAGCCCGTTGGGATGGTCTCAAAGCGAACCCCCTGGTCTGAACAGCTCGGGGCTGTCAGAAATCCTGACCCGGCTCCAGAGCGAACGTTCACAGACGTCCCCTGGGTGAGGGGGTGACGAATGGCAGCTGGAGGGAGGTGGTAGGAAGAGCGCAGCTGCGGCGAGGGGTCCTGAGCAGCCCGTGGGGCCCAGCTCTGAGCTGGAAATGGAGGGCGGAGGGCGAGAGGTTAGCAAGGCAGGAGAAGTGCCAGGCCAGGAGCCCAGGCAAGATCCACACGGCTGGAGCAGCCTGGTCAGGAGAGGCAATGCAGCAGAGCCACCCACCCCCACCGTAATGGCCAAGCCAAAATCCCCCACAGCCAGCCAATCAGTAGAGAAAAAAATGTTAATTGTTTTAAAAGTGCCGGCCAATCAGAGCGGAGTAAAAAAAAAAAAGGCACAGTGGTACGGTGCCCCCTGGTGGTTGCCACCCAGGGCGATTGCTCTCCTCATCAGCCCC